ACAAGTAACCAGTTCAACTCCAACTCATGGTGACCCCATGCATGTCAGAGTAGAAATGTGCTTCATAGGGTTCTCAATGGCTGATTTTTTGGAAGTAGATCACCAGGCCTTTCTTCTGTGGCACCTCTGGGTGGACTCAACCCTCCAACCTTTCAGTTAGCAGCCAAGTTTATTAATTGTTTGTGCCATCCCGGGACCCTTGAGGAAGTTGCTTATATACATGGCCTTAGAGCCACCACTTCCCTCACTGGCTCCAGAATCCTCATGAGGCCCACAAGACCCCAGTGATGCAGCCCTGCTCCCCTCTGACCTCACGTCCCTGCCTCCACATCGTCTGCTCCACCAGCCGGCTTCTCAAGGTTCCTCCTGGAACAGGCAAGACACACTTTCCAACTCACCGCTTGCCATTTGCTATTCCCTCAGCCTGCAAATCTCTTCCCCAGACACCTGCCTCCAGGTGTTTACTCCACAGTCACCTTTTCCATGAGGGCTTCCCTGGCTGCCCAATTTACAACTGCAATCCCCTTGCTTCCTGCTCCCTCTGCCTGGTGGCCTTTACTTTTCTTCTTTAGTGCTTATCACCGTCCAGCAAACTCTAGTTCACCGATTCACCTTGTGTATTACCTGTCTCCTCCGCTAGAGCATAATTCCTTGAAGGTGGGTGGGGTTTTGTTGTTATTTTTACTGTCTTGTTCACCTTCCTAAGCCCAGTACCTGGAACAACATCAGGCCCTCAGAAAAGAGTCATAGCAGGAGCGAATGAGAGGCCAACTCCCTCACTTCTCCCAGAACCTCTTTGTTAGATCGTGGCTTTAGTTCTACAAGAATATGTAGAGGCACGGTACCTTGTCCCAAAAGCCCAGGTCCTACCTACGGCCACCCAGCAAATGCAGGAATCTTCTAGGCCACCCCAGCCCGCATTGTACAGATGAGGAAGCTGAGGCCCGGAGAGGAAGGACTTGCCCAAGGTCAAAGTGTGCATTAGTGGCAGAGAGGAAATAGGAGCCAGAACATTCTCACTCTTCTTGTCGTTAAGATCCTAATTGGCCCCTGGTGGGGTAGCCTGGGCAAGCGAGGACATTCAGGATGATTATAAAGTCTTTTAGTGCCAGAGGTACTTTTGAGTTTCCAAGGATGATTGGAGGAACCAAACCAGTCCCAGAGTGCTTCTTTTCAGTGGGGTCACTAGAGGGTACGGGGGTGTGGACCGCACCCCCTGACACTGTAGAGGGGGTGACACCAAAATGACCCCAGGGTCTGTGGCTGTGGCAGTGGGTGGGCCAGCACTGCCGGGAGAGGGGCTACCAAGTCAGTGGTGTCACTAGGTTTGGTGTCATCTGTCACCTAGTGCAGTAACTCCTCACCGACCCCTCCCACCACCATCTCCTCCCTATTGGCCAGTGAGAGAGGGGAGGAGCTGCCGGGAGCCATGGGGGCAGGGCTGAGCCGCTCTGCCCACAGTGGGGGTTGGGGGGAGATTGACACCATGGGTTACCGAACCAGGTGACATTAACCTTAGTGACGCCACTGCTCCTTTTCTGGGTAATTCTGCCTCCACCATTTTAACTTCTTTCCTACTTTGCTTGTTGTTAGTTGCTGACTCATGGCGACTCCATGTGTGCAGAGTAGAACTGATCCATAGGGTTTACCTTTCAGAAGCAGATTGCCAGGCCTATCTACTGAAGAGCCTCTGGGTGGGTTCCAACCACCAACCTGTTGGCTAGTAGTCGAATGCTTACCTGTTTGTGCCACCCAGGGATAATCAATGCTTTGTGGTCCAGTGAGTTTGAACAATGTGACAGTCTCTGCTCCATAGTCAGGTCTCTGCAAAAGCCTGCTGCTCCGACAACAGCACAACACCGAATCCAGCACTTCCCAAGCTCCCCCCCACCCCCAGAAGTCCCACAAACCCTCCCTCCCCTTTGGGAAATGCTGTTTGCTCCTCAGGACCTCTGGGTCCTGATGCCCTCAGATCCCTCCTCTGCTCTCCTGGGAGTGGTCCTACATTCCTGTGTCACTTAACGGGGTTCATTCCTCGACTCGTCCCCTCCCCCAGGTGGCTCCTCATAGCAAATGCCCTGGACGCTTCCCGAATGCCAACCTGAGACAACATCAGAGACACAGGTCAAAATGAGAGGCACCAGCCACACCTTGCTGCTTTGTAACTCCCCTCCTTGGTCTGATTAAGGTTTTCAACCCCCTGCAGGTATGGGGGAAACCCTGGTGGTGTAGTGGCTAAGGGTTCAAATCCACCAGGCACTCCTTGGAAACTCTGTGGGGCAGTTCTACTCCGTCCTGGGTTGCTGTGAGTCAGAATCCACTCGACGGCAATGGGTTTGGTTTTAGTTGGTGCAGATATGGTGAAAGACTTAATTCCTCGACAGAAGTGTTAAATGAAATAAAAATGGAGTCCCGTGGTTAACACAATGGCATTGGCGGTCTAGTGGACAACACTCCTAAGATTTGCCTTTATCAAAACTTAAGCCAAGCTTTCCTGTAAGTCAGGCCACGCTTGTTGTCCAATAACATTCTGACATCACTTCAGTAGTAAATTGTATAAGCCAGTCAGCAATTAGCTTCTTTTGCTTCCAAGTTTGTCAATAAAAATCTAGTTACTACTGATACTCAGTGGAGTACCTTTCCATTTTTGGTTTGGTACTTACCCGATTCACTAATCTTCTGCCCAAATAAACCTCATCTAATAGATTAATTTTATTGCTGACTCAGTTTCTTTTGACAGATGCAAACACATCACACAGCCCACCCACCTCAGGACTTTAAGCACCGTCTTAGTTAGCTGCTGTTGTTGCTGAGTGCCACGGAGTCGATTCCGACTCATAGCGACCCTGTAGGACAGAGTAGAACTGCCCCATAGGATTTCCAAGGCTGTAATCTTTATGGAAGCAGACTGCCACATCTTTCTCCTGTGAAGCAGTGGTGGGCTCGAACCACCAATCTTTCAGTTAGCAGCCGAGCACTTAACCATTGGACTAACAAAGCTCACTTCTTAGTTAACTAGTGCTGCTGTAATAGAAATGCCACTTTAAAGAGAAAATGTATTTTCTCAAGGTTTAGGAGGCTAGAAGTCTGAATACAGGGTGCAGCGCTAGGGGAAGCCTCTCTCCCTCTGTGGGCTCTGGGGGAAGGTCTTTGTCTCTTCCAGCATTCCTCAATTCCTCAGCGACCTTCACACGGTGTGAGGTCCTCTTCCCCCATTTGTGCTTCCTTTTCTCTGTGTCTGGGCTGCTGTTTATAACTCAGAAGTAATTAGGTTTAGGACACCCTATGCTGATAACCCTTCATTAACATAACAAAGAAAACCCTATTTTCAATTAGGGTTACATCCACATGTATAGGGGTTATGTTTCCAACACATGTTTTGGAGGACACAGTTCAATCCACGACAGGCACCAAGATGACATTCCCCTTTTCTGGAGGAATGTGTGTGGGAGGGTTGGGGGAGGGGCTGGTATATTCAATAAAGCCTGCTAAAGCTGGAAACTGTGTAAGGCGGATACCTGTCAGAGGAGGAAAACTCACTGGATGTTTATGAGTTAGGATTCTTAACCGAGAGCAACGGAAACGTGGACTGTACCCTGTCAAAGGTGGAAAATTTGTGAGACCTGGAAAAATAAAGCAGTCCCGTCGAGTTCCAGCTCCCACAGTTTTCACTGTATCTTAAACTGACAGAGGTGTTACTAGTGGGCACTGCCTTCCCCCCCAGCACACTTTCTACTTCGGTTTTGTTCCCCAGTCCCATTCCCTAACCCCTTAATACACCCTCATCCTTGGTATGAATAGACGGAGTGCTGACTGGGACGGGGCACAGGAAGGGTCCAGCAGAAATACAGTACATGCCACACATGTAATTTTAAATTTTCTGGTAGACACACCTAAAAAAGTAAAAAGACACAAGGGTACTTCATTTTAATAATGTTTTATTATCCCAGTATATCCAAAATCTTATCATTTAAACGTGTAATCAACATACAATGTTAAGGAGACAGTTTACATTTTTTTCATACTAAGGCTTTAAAATCCTGTATCTGTTTTACACCTGCTAAGCTAACCTAACCCACTGCCGTGGAGTCCATTCTGACTCATACTGCAACACATCTCAGTTTGGACTAGTCGCATTTTAAGAGTTCGACAACCACATGTGGCTAGTGGCCACAGATTGGACAGCACGGATCTCTAGCTTGATCTGCATGGCAGTTACAAAGGTGTTGTGGTTGTTGTGAGTTACTGTCGAGTCGGCTCTGGCTTGTGGCGACCTTACGTAGAACAGAATGAAGCGTTGCCCAGTCCTGCGCCGTCTTCATGATCATTGGAATCTTTGAGTCCATTGCTGCGGCCATTGTGTCAATCCATTTCATAGAGGGTTTCCCTTGTTTTCGCTGACTCTCTACTTTCCCAAACATGATTCCTTTTCTAGGGTTTAGTCTTTCCTGATGATGACATGTCCAAAGTAAGCTGGTTGATTTCTCGCCATCCCCACTTCTAAGGCTCATTCTGGTTGTATTTCTTCTAAGACTGATTGGTTCATTCTTTTGGCAGTCCTTGAGATATTCAGTATTCTTTGCCAACACCCCAATTCTTATGTAAAAATTTGCCTAGTTGTACACTGAGTATTGGTGCATTTCACCATGTGTAAGTTATACTTTAAGAAAATGTTTTTTAAAAATCCTCCTCAGGGCTCAAATGCCACTTGTGTTTTCCTGGCTGGAATTAGCTACTTCCATTATTATGTGCTCGTTCCCACGTTGTACGTATTCTCCCCTTGTACTATAGCTGATTGTTCCTGTGTACGTCTCACTTGCTTTATTCTAATCACCTGAAGGTCAAGGTGTTCGTTTTTTAATTCAATTTTTAATCCCCCAAAGGGCCACTGGCCACATAGATGCTAAATGCATAAGTATGGTTGAACAATCCCATTTGTAATAAACCCCTTTCTGGGCTGGCTGCAGAATGGGCTTGATCATTGAATTCTCTTTTCTCAGTTCCATTTCAGATGTTGGCAAAGGAGAGGGCGAGGAAGACGAGGAGGAAGGTGGTGTGGGGCTCTGTCGGCCAGCCACCCAGAAGAATTGCCTTCCCCACCGGGGCATCAGCGTCCTGGAGAAACTTGTCCGAACGTGCCCAGTGTGGCTGCAGCTGAACATGGGCCGGGAGGAGGCGGCAGGGATCTTGCAGCGTGAGGCCACCGGGGTGAGTCGAGATCTCTCTGCCTTACACCTCCCGGGTGGGCCGCAGAAGTAGGAGGGTGAGGCCATGCATGCCTGGGTCCCCCGTCTGGACAGCTGCTTGTTTGCTTTCCTTTCTTAGAATTATCAGCTTTTTGACCACAGTGTTTTTCCAGAACTCAGAGAAGAGGGTCGTGGTGGGAAGGGCTGGTTTCTGCCCCAGAGAACAGGTGTTCCCAGCTGGAAAACATCGGAGTTTGTGGCTGGCGTGGCCGTCTGGGCCTTTGGGCACGTGAGAGCAGGGCTGGCAGGCTGGGAGCGCCACGCTGGTGCTCTGACCTGAGAGCACAGCAGGGCATCGGACCGGACAGCATCAGAGACCAGGGACCGACATGTCATTTTGTACTCCCCCATTTTACATATGAAAACAAGGGGCGATGTGAGGGGGATCAATGATTTCTGGGGGTCGTGATCCAAAAGCTGGGCAATTGGCTTAAATTTTCTGTGCCTCGCTTTTCTGACTTTGAAATAGGAGCATTAATAGTACTCCCGTCCCAGGGGTATTGTAAGGATTATGTGAATATATCTATATCTCTGTCTATCCTATGTCTATGTCTAGATCATCTATATCTATCTATATAACTAGTTGCCATCAAATCTCCTCTGAGTCATGGAGACCCCATGTGTGTCAGAGTAGAGCTGTGCTCTATAGAGTTTTCAGTGGCTGATTTTTCAGAAGTAGATTGCTGGGCCTTTATTCCAAGTTGCTTCTGGGTAGACTCAAACCACCAGTCTTTCAATTAGCAGCTGAGTGCATTAACCATTTTCAACACCCAGGGACTCCTATCTATCCATCTATGTATGTATCTACCTATCTATCTACATATCTGTATATCTATCTATCTACCTATCTATCTACGTATCTATCTATGTATCTGTCTATCTATCTACTTACCTACCTATGTATCTATCTATGTGTCTATCTATGTATCTGTCTGTCTATCTGTCTATCTATCTGTCTACTTATCTATGTATCTATCTACCTATCTATCTGTCTACCTATCTACCTATCTATGTATCTGTGTATCTATGTATGTATCTATCTATCATCTATCTAATTAAATATGACTCAGAGCTCATCAAATGCTACTTTCCACCCTCTCGCTCACATTTACTCTTACATCTTAGTTCCTTTTAAAAAATATTTAATTTTTTTAATTATAAAAGTGATACACATATGTGTTCATCATAAAAAAAAAAGCTGGACAGGAGTGAATAGAGTAAAAAGTCAAGTGTCTTGTAAAGGTCTTCCCCACCCACTCTAACCTAGCCCACTCCCCAAATTCACTTTTTAACCCTTCCATTGAGGTGAAATTCCCATAACATGAAATGAACAATTTTAAAGCAGACAATTCAGCGCCGTTTAGTGCATCCACGGTGTCGTGTGACCACCACCCTGTCTGGTTCCAGAACATTTTCATCACCCCATAATAAAACCCCATTTGCCCCTCTCCCCAGCCCCTGGCCACCACCAGTCTGCTTCCAGAAGTTATTTTTGCTTGAAGTTTGTGGTGTGTCTTTGCAAACATTTTTATGCAGATTCACATATCTACCACAGCTAGCATTTACGAAGTACTTAGTACTGCGTTCAAGGGAGCCCTGGTGGTGCAGTGGTTAAAGTGCTTGGCTGCTAATGGAAAGGTCAGTGGTGCAACCCACCAATAGCTCCATGGGAGAAAGACGTGGCATCTGCTTCCGTAAAGATTTCAAGCCTTGGAAACCCTATGAGGCAGTTCTACTCTGTCCTACAGGGTCGCTGTGAGTTGGAACCGACTCGATGGCAGTGGGTTTGGTTTTGGGGTAGTACTATGTTCCAGACGGATACCCTGGTGGTGTAGTGGTTAAGAACAATGGCTGCTAACCAAGAGGTCAGCAGTTCAGATCCACCAGGCGCTCCTTGGAAGCCCTGTGAGGCAGTTCTGCTCTGTCCTATAGGGTCGCTATGAGTCAGAATCGACTCGACGGCAACGGGTTTCTTTTTAATGTTCCAGGCACTCTTCTAAGTTCTTCACAGGAACTAGCACAGTTTATCCTCACAGCAGCCCTATGAGGTAGGCATTACTATTATGCCCATTTTACAGATGAGGTAACTGACGTACAAAGAATTGGAGTGGCCTCCCATAGATGACCCAGCGAATAAGTGGCAAAGCTGGAATTTGAACCCAGGCAGCTTGGCTGGCGCCTGAGCTCTACTGTACTTGCACATTTTATTTGACACACGGAGTCCTATCTCTCAGATGCCGTGCTGTTTTTAGTGTCTCACCTCTGGTGTGGTACATAGTGCTTTTTCCAAGCTCATAAATATAGGGGGTTCAGTTGATCAGTGGACTCGTTCACCTTGGACAAGGTGAAATCTATCAAGTCAGCTGTTGTATCTGAAAATTGCAATTACTGGAAGATATGAGGTCCCCCTCGTGGTGTAGTGATTAAGAGCTACGGCTCCTAACCAAGAGGTCCACAGTTTGAATCCACCAGCCACCGCTTGGAAACCCCATGGGGCAGTTCTACTCTGTCCTATAGGGTCACTATGAGTCCGAATCGACTCGATGGCAACAGGTTTAGTTTTTGGTTATGGGGCCTCCAGGAGCCCTGGTGGCGCAGTGGTTAAATGCTCAGCTGCTAACCAAAAGGTTCAAGGTTCAAATCTACCAGCCACTCTGAGGGAGAAAGATGTGGCAATTTGCTTCTGCAAAGATTACAGCCTTGGAAACCCTATGGGGAAGTCCTACTCTGTCCTTTAGGGTCACTAGAAGTCAGAGTTGACTCGAATGAAATGGGTTTGTTTGTTTGTTTTTTTTTAGATGGTGCCTCTAGGCAAGTCCCAACCTCCCCTTGTCACAGAAGCCCCTGTCTAGGGAGTGGGTGGCTGAAGACCCCAGCGGGCCCAGGGAAGGCCTCCTCCGGGGATATGGAGCCAGGGCCTGGGGCCAGCCCACTCCTACCTCAGGGCCCAAGATTGGTCTGTAAGTCTGCAGACGCCTCTTTTCTGGAGGGAAGAGCAAGGAGGGGGTTGGAAGGAAGCAGGCAGGAAGATCATAGTCTTGAAAAGAACAAGTTTTGTTGTTTTATTGCTTCCCACCAAAAGGTTTTCAGTTTTGAAGAGGTGGGGGGCTTTAGAATAGATGATGAAAAAACTCTGGGGTTCACCCCAGCAGGTGTTCCAGCCAGCATTCCTGGGTATAGCCCAGACCAGTCATCCAGCCCCCGTTAGATGCTGGGGGATTAGCTTTTCCACTCTCCCCTGAATACAGCTCAAAAACTAGCCCAATGCCAATTCCATGTCAGTGAAATAGCATTGGTGTCCAGCTGGTTTCCCCAGTGCCAAGCTTGGGCAGGGGGAAGCCAGCGCTGGCTTCCGAGGTGCCCAGTCTCCAGTATCCTTGTGTGAGGAGCTTTGCCCTTGGAATGACTGAGCGTTTGTGGCTCAGAGGGAGAGACACACAAGTGGCCTTAAGTCTTTGAAATGTTTTTCCACCCAAGGGGACACCTCGGGCCCCAGAGCATGAAGCCATCTTTATTGCTTCAGAAGACATCTCGGCTCCCCTCAGCTCTGACATTGCACCAAAGACAGAACTGTCTCTTGAATCAAGTAGGTAGCAGGAGACAGGAAGAACATTCCTCTGAGGGCTAGTCTGGACAGGTTTGCAAATAGACTCCCGAAGCATTGGTGCGCCTGACATTTTGGAGGTGGGCAGAGAAACTGCAAGAAGGCTGGTTGCAAACACCGGGAAAGGTCAGTGGTGGACTTTGAACAACTATGCACAGGCCTCTCGGGCGGCAGCTGGCTGTAAACGAAGGGGTGAAGGCCACTCCTGGCCTGGGCATGAGGGTGGACCGCTGTGCATGTGACGCTTTGACTCTGCATTGGTGATAGATGCCCTGGGGTCAGTCCAAGGAAGTCTGAGCAAGAGGAAGTGCTAGGAGGTCAAGGACTCCGGCCCCTGCCTCCCTTTTGGGGCTGATTCTTGGGCCATATCAGTAGAATGAGGGGCAGCAGCCAGTTGAGGGCTGTGTCCATCAGCAACTGCAGCCCAAATGTCGGTGACAAACCAGAAAACAGTTTGGGGCAGACAGAACCTTTGCCACCAGGAATCTTGACGTGCCAGGACCATCTTTGGGAGTTTGTAAATGCGCAGTCCAGCAGTGTCCCACGGCTCAATTTCAGCATCTATTTTGGGGAAATGCGTTTCTTATCTTGCTGTGCGGTGGCCGATAAATCCTCCACTTAAAACCTGGCAAAGAAAAACTAGCCCAAGATGCAAATTCTTGATGGCTGAGGGATGGCCATAGTCTGGATTTTTCTTGACTCATTAGGAGGGTTGTGCCCAGGAGGTACGTGAGGTTGGGTATGTGAGGACCATCCCAGGACAAGGCAGGGGGTCCGCAGGGCAAGCTGGGCCAGGCAGGAGTCACAAGGGTTTTGTCCAAGGGTTCAGTCCTCTCTTCAAAAAATAAGCACGACTAAAAATAATAATAACTAAAAAGAGCAACAGCAGTTCTGTTTGAAGAATGCTTATTCATACCAGACCCTGTGCCAAGTACTTTGAGAATGCTGTCATTTGATCCTCACGATACTCCTGAGGTAGACTCTGCTATTAGCCCCACTTTACAGATAATGAACCCGAAGCTGAGGGCAGTGCCCTAGTTTGGGTTTCCCCAGAAGCAGACCCTGAGATGCAGATTTGAATGCCAGTGCTTTATTTGAGGGTGAGCCCAGGAAGCACCAGTAGGGGAACTGAGACAGGGAAGGGAAGGCAGCTAATAAAGGGTATGCTATGATGCAAGTAAAAGGAACCCTAGTGGCACACTGGTTAAGCACTCAGCCACTAACTGAAAGGTTGGTGGTTCGAACCCACCCAGTGGCTCTGCAGGAGAAAGACCTAGAGAACTGCTTCCGTAAAGATCACAGCCTAGAAAACCCTATAGGGCAGTTCTACTCTGTCACATGGGATCGCTATGAGTCGG